GGAGTGTCTGCTGTGGACAGAGCATGTCACGGTTCTGGGGAAGGGGCAGGCAGAGTGGAGTGGCCTGGAACCTCAGCTGATTGGGCAGAAACAGGACCGTCTCATGGGAAGGATGGGGTCCAAGGGACCTTCTGAGTCAGAGAAGCCAGAGTCAGGGAAACAAAATGCCTCCTCCAACTGAAACATCTCAATAAACTGTTCCAGTTTAAGGGCAGTGATTCTCCCGTCTGCTTTCCCTGCTTCACGTAGAACCTTCTAAGGCAATGAAAGTCAGGCTTCTTGTTTCATAGAAAGGGACCCTGAGGCCTAGAGAGAGAGAAGGCTGGGGACAAGAACTTGGTCCCTGAGTCCAACCCTCTTTCCAGATGCTGCACCGATTCTATGAGATGAAGTTAATGCTGCAAGTTAGGAAATTAGAAGAAAAAACATCTAGAACACAGCTGTTGGCCACTTGTCTCTTCACACCCCGCAGTCCTGGCCTCACAACGTGGAGAGGACAGCTTAGGCCTAAGCCCAGGTGTGGTGGGGCTGCAGTGAGGCTCCAGCAGGAGGGGGTCCTGCCCCGCTGTCGCTGAGTGTGGGAAGCTGGGGTCTCACTTTGCACAATGGGCACGAGCATCCCTTCGCCTTATAAGGATCCCAAGGCTCCAGACAAAAAATAAGATTGAGAAGGTAGGGAATTCTCCTGGTTGTCCAGTGGTTAGGACTCGGTGCGTTCACTGCAGGGGCCTGGGTTAGATCCCTGGCTGGGGAACTAAGATCCCGCAAGCCGTGCGCCAAAAAAAAAAAAAAAAAAAAAAAAAAATTGAGACGGTATGCCGAAGTATTTTTGTAAAACTTCACCCTGCAGTTTCTGAGGACCTTAATTTTGTTTCCCCCTCTTGATCAAAACCCTTAAACACAAAGAACCAGTGACCTCGGAGCCTTTCCTGTATCCGTTCAACCACGTGGTCTGGACGCGTGTCTAACCCTGCCTGGGATTTGCTTCAGAACAATCTGGGAGTGGGGTAGGATGCTGGTGCTGGGGTGGGGTACAGAGGAAATGAGACTGACCACATGTTGGTAAAATTGCTAAGATGGATGATGAGTATGTGGAAGTTCACTGTATCATTCCCTGTTTTACGTACAATTGATATTTTTCATAATTTTTAAACATGGAAAAAAATAACACCTTGCCAAAAAAGAAAAGCAATTCTACAAATTAATGCAAAATTCACTGGGAAATTCTAAAGCAGTTGAGTACACCCGTTTGCACAGAAAAGGCGACCTGGTGGGAGGGTCCACTATGCCTGTCTGCACCATCCTCCTCTGTGATTCTTGCCAAGTCCTTTCTGAAGGCTGGGCTGTTCTGAGAAGCTGATAAATTACAACAAACCCTGCCTCACCCTGTGGAACTGTCCTCTAGGCTTCTAGAAAGATTGAGATTAGCCTGTCCAGTCTATTGTCGAAATCACCTTTCTACCTGTAGGATACTAGGGGCGTATACACAGAGACGGGAAGCCAGCTTTCCTTGTGGCCTTGCACTGCCACCTTTCTGCTGACAAAGCTGTACGGTTTTATTACTAAAATGCCAACACGTGCACAGATCAGGTACTGGGCCCTGGAGGGTCTCTGGGGCCTTTCCATGCTGTCACCCCACCATGAGTCTGAGGCTGAGGGTAAACACTCCAGGAGCAGGGGAGACGTACTGGAAGGTGACGGCCAGGAAGATGCACTCCAGGGCCATCC